AAAAAAACAAACCCACAAACAAAACCAACCAAAAAAAAAAACCCTGGACACTACATTACAATTCCTCACTGTTTCTTTGACGGCGCCGGGAAGTGCCCAGTCCCGCCCGAGGAGCTCAGCACCGCACCGGAGCTCCGCACGAGCGTGTCGTCACCTCGCATCTCGCTTCACCAGATCATATCACGGAAGATCCTGCAGCATATTGTGCACTACAAACGGAATCTGTAGGATTCGCAGGAATGTGATAATTAATTCAGTGAGGATGATGCTTAATATGGACTGGCCCGAAAGAGACAGGTCTAAAAGGAATCTGTGTGTGAAGGGGTGGGGGAAGGGAGAAGGGGGAGATATTTAAAGTGTTTGAACCATAAGGCAAATGCTCAAAAGCTACATTACGTTTGCTTCCCGACCTCAAGAGCAGCTTGAAGCTTGGCATATGCTGCAGTTCCTTACTCATCGCCGAATCTAACTGGTAAAGCTCATCCTGACTCACAAAAGGGAAAGACTCTGCTATGCACCACTAGCAATTCCACCGCACCCGAGAACTTGACCTTGGCACAACTCTATCTCTAGCCGGTATCACGACAGACTCTGGCACTGCTCCAGTAATGCTTAGGCGCCAACCTCCTCGGGAGCGACCCTCACTCTCGTCCTCCCCCACCCCGGTCCCTGCAAAGGCATCCCCGTACCCTCTCTTTAGCCGAACCCTCGCGTCTGTGGACTACTTGGTGCGCTGCAAACTGGGGAGCGACAGTCCGTGGCACTCATCTACACAGAGCTATAGAGCTGGCGCAGGTCCAGCCTTTCCCGGTGTGCCATCCCCACACAGCACTGCAGCTTTGGTCATATGAGCAGAAATGATGAGAAAAGCACTTTTTAATCTTTTCGCACTTGCTTCCCTGTTCAAACAGTTGCAGGATGGCTATGACTGATGTGCTCAGCGCTGAGGATATCAAGAAGGCTGTGGGAGCCTTTTCAGGTGAGTGCTTTTTTTCTTTTTTTTCTCCCCCCTTCTCTTTTACCCCTTTCATCTCTTCAATTTAGGATAGCACTGCATTTATTTAAGCTCGGGGAAGATTAGAGGATCCGGCTAGACAAACTATCAAATGAGGGTGTATTTTCCGAAGTGCAGTGAAAGCCTGACAGGTTTATCAAGTACAGGGCTGCATCCTCAGCAATGTTGCCCTGCACATAAGGAGATTAAATGTTTATTTTAGAGGAAGGCAAACAGTAACCGCGGGCAGACTTTTTTTTCTGCCGAGAAGATACTTCCAAAGGAACAAAACCCTCGGCGAACCAGGGTAGATTATATTTTATGTGGGATAGGGACGTCAGCCGTGGATGTCGGCAGCTTCCCACTCACCGCCGATATTTAGTTTCAGGTATTACAGAACTGCTGTTTCTTGTTACAAGCAGATCAGAAGCCGCTCTTTTCTTACTTCCTATGCGGAATCCCCGGGTGGGCTTTACTCTTCGGGATGGAGCGGAAGGCAACAGTAGAGCAAGCGGGTGCACTGCTCGACTGCAAAAGCTTTCTGCAGGACGGATGCCTGCAGCGGTCCGCACTTCCCTCTCAGACTCCTCTGGGTTTCAGACATTCCCTACCCCTCTAATTCATCGCCACTCCTAAACTGACAGCAAACCCTCCTCATGCTTGAAGAGATTCAGGTAGTTAAGGTTGCTCGCAAAGAAACGCCAGAAATGGTGCTCCGGGATGCACGTTATCTCCCCCCTCTCCCGACACTACCTGGCTGATCGCACCCCCCAGGGGAGCCGGCTCCTTTCGTCCCGGTCTGAGCAATGACCTTCCCAAATGGACAGAAGCGCAAAACCCGCTGACCCCGACCGAACCCAGTAGCCGGAGAGTCGAAGGGACCAACAAACGGCTTCACTGGATCCAGCAGCTGTTTTTCTCATTAGCTTTCACTGTTCTAGGGCCATCTCCAAGTCCCGGAGCAGATGCAATTAGCAACAACTAATGACAGATCTGTCAAGCAGATCCCGAATGACTGAGCCTCCTTAATTTTATGTCATAGGAAAAGCTGCGGCGGCAATAAGGATGCACGGGGAAGGAAGGGGGGAAGAAAAGTGCACAGCACGTTTTGGAGGTCACTATCGATTTCTAATACGCACCCCAGTCTGTAGGCTACATGTGTGGGACAAAAGAGGGTGCGGTTAAAGGACGGGAGAGGTGGAGCAGGCAAACTCATTTATCTCGGCTCCGATTTCAAGGGCTGATTTTCTTTTTTTCTCCTCCCCGGCGATCGTGCCTCACAAGGTCTTGCAAGCAGCATACAGTACAGCGCTGCCTTGCAGTGTCTGAGTTTACAAACCACGACTGCACATACCTTCAGCGGTTGAAATGCAACACTAATTTCTAGAAAGCCTTCAGGGAAAAACAAACAAACAAAAAAATCCCACAAACAGAACTGAAATAGCCGTGTGCTCCTAAACACTTCTCATCACTAGGCTCCACGGTTGAGCAAGAGCATTTGGTCTTTTCCAGGGCTGGGAATGTCAAAAAGTGACAGCCATCTAATAGTCGGAGTCCACTCTCAGATTACTGTTTTGGCGTAATTTTAGGGGGTGTGGGTGTGGGAAGGCTTCAAGGCACTGAAACAAGACCAAGCAGGTTAGACTTCAGCTCCCAACTCTGTCACAAACTTCCTGAGTGACCTTGGGTAAGTTTCCATCTCTCTGGAGCTCAGATCTTCACCTGCAGAGACACTGCCCCTCTCCCCCTTTCTTTATTTCCATTAGTGTCTGCAAAGCGTGGAGGATTGCAGTGCATACACCCAGCTCCTACCACAGCTGGGCTCCACTGTGCCTCCTAGGGCAGGACATGCAGCAGTATGGAAGAAAACCATGGGTATGTGCTGATATATGTTTCCATGATTTTTCTAAGTAGTTCTCTGGCTTTTCATCTTCTACAGCGGCTGAATCTTTTAACTACAAGAAGTTTTTCGAGATGGTAGGATTGAAAAAGAAGAGCCCAGAAGATGTGAAGAAGGTTTTCCATATTCTTGATAAAGATCGAAGTGGCTTCATTGAAGAGGATGAATTAAAGTAAGTAAAGATACATCCTTTCTCAAATAACCTCATCTTAAGAGTCTAATTTCCTGTTGGTTTTTTTTTTTTTTTTTTTTTTTTTTTACAAGACTCTAGATAATAGCATACAATTCAATCTCTTGACTAGGATTTGTGTGCAATAATCTGTTGTTTGCTGATAATGTGATCTGAAGTGTGTTGGAGGTAGCTAGTTGTAACTTTTATTGCAGGATCCCTGAAAGACATGAATGATCAATACCTTATAGAGAGTTCTTCAGCCAAATGCAGTTTCAGAGTAAACCACTCCTCCTGAAGGTCAACAACAGAAGATACAACCCTTGATTCCAAATTGCATATCAAATCAGTGCTACAAATAAATAAAAAGTGAAACTGTTCTGGAAAAACCCTTTCCTTTTTTCCATGCCTCCTCTTCAGGTTTGTACTGAAGGGCTTTGCCCCAGATGGAAGAGACCTATCAGACAAAGAAACGAAGGCTCTTCTGGCTGCTGGAGATAAGGACGGTGATGGTAAAATTGGCGCTGATGGTATGTGATTAGAGGAGTAAACTTTCACAGTAACAATCGAATATTACTCTTACATACAAGAACTGAGGAAATCTAGGAATCAGTGGAGCCTGTGACCTTCTGAAGGGCACAACTGGGGTTTAATGAAATGCCAAGTCCTGCTACATTTGCCACACCTTGCTTGCAGGCTTTAAGGGGAAGCAGAATCCGAGTTCTGACACTAGAGGGGGCAAGAGTTCAGAGAAAACGAGATGTAGTTCAGGCACACTACAGCATAGGAATAAGTACCGATCCAACTTCTGCTTCAACTAGTTTAATTTTTCTGTTGGTTTCAGTGAGGTGATGATTAGGACACTGAGAGTTTAAAGATCCAAGCTTGACTATAAAACTTAGAAAAGAGAAAGAAAAAAAGCTGAGTACCGGCATTTCTTCTTGATGATTAGTAAATAGGAATGCAATGCATGATTTAGCAAAGCAATGCTCTTAAAATTCAAAGTCCAGTCTGCTACCGATTTTCCACACCATAACTGTCTATCCAATATTTCCTAGTATTTATGTGGGTCTTCATATCTAAGAAAGCTTGTCACTCCCTTTTACTAAATATGAGAACTACAAGAAAAGAACAGATTTTTCTCTCAAAGCATTGCTTTAAAAATTACTGCTGTTTTTTATTCCCCCTTGGGATGAATCAAATTAGCATGCATACAAAATTTCTCCTTTTCCCCCTTTTTTATCCCTGAGACACACTGGAAGAGACATGAAGAAATGCGTTTCTGAATTAAATCTTTCCTCATTGCAGGAAATAGTAGCAGAAGTTTGTGGACAGAGTACTAAATCACCTAGACAGCAGACAATTGCTAAATTTTCACCATATTGATAAGCCATATGATAGGTTGAAATCTAAAAACTATCTAAAAAACCTCATGTCTCTCTGTGTTACCTATCTTTGGGATCTGTAAAAAATAGTTTAAAAAAACAAAAAACAAAAAACGCTATTAAAAAAGGGATTAAAATCAAAATACAGTTAACTAACATAGTCTTCTAATTCAGAAGCTGAAAAAATGACACACAAAATTAGCCACTGACATATTAGTTAGGCAATATATTAGCTAAACTGCCTGTTCAGAGCACACTGGCATATCAGTGACTATGACCCTGTTTCTAGACTAAAGCTTCTTCATTTCTGTGATTGTGATTATATTATGATTGCAGAGGAGCAATTGTGAAGCATCTAATGGAAGTTCCCACTAAACTTTAGCAGAGCTACTGAACCCAATTAGTGTGTCATTATCTGAAATGTCATATGCTTTATTATATGGGCCCTCCTTATTCCCATTAAAATTAGTGGCAGTGGCACTAAAATCAGTGGGCAAGATTTTCAGAAGAAAACTTGATTCAGGTAAGTAAGCTCATAGCTGATCCACCAACCTCACATCAGATACATTTTCCAGTTATTCCCGGAAGGCTGCAAAACAAAAACAATTATTGATTGGGTTAAAAGAATTATATTGCAGAATGATTTTGGCTTATACAAGAGAATACAGCATTAACTTCTTTATTTAAGATTGATCATAACTTTTTTTTAAAAGTTGAAACAATGCCTGAAAGCCAGTACATTGTAATAAAGCAATATGAAACACCTCTTCTCCTTATCTCTTTCTTCTGCAACTTTTACCCTTCCTTAACTTTGAACTGGAATTACTCAGAGTTTGCACTCGATAACGAGAAGAGAATGAAGGGCTTTTTTCTTTTGCTTCTTCTGGCCATATTCCTACTGTACAATATTATTGGTTTCTTTCCATTTCTTAAACCTGACTCCAACAGCAAATTGTTACACCAGAAAGGCTTGAAATACATGCAAAGTTAATAGTTGGGACTGTGACCAAAGTATGAGGATGACAGATAATTTCCAGTTTTTCCTTTGGTACATAAATCTAATTCCAGTTATAACTGTCTATGTAAATAAAATGTAAAGTCATGAATGTACATCACATTCATATTCAGTATTGCAATACTATATTTCTGTTGCAAACCATCTGTTTCCTTCCCTGTAACTGAATTGTCAGGCGTTACTTTTACCTCTTGTTTCAAACATCAGCTTTGTACATTACTAAATTATCACAAACATGCAGCCTTTCACAGGGGTTAACGTTAATTCACTAGATGGCCCTTGAACACTGTTCCTCAGGACCCCACAGCAGTTGTAAGAACTTGATCTTCATGGATTTTTAACACCACAGAGCCATCTTTCTCTGCCGTATCATCACAAACGCTAATCTTAAGTGGCCTTCTTCCAGTTCCAGAGACAAACTTTCTCTTAGGTCTTCTCCTTCAAACTTTTTATCATTCCTGCAAGACCACACAGCTCAGAAATAATTTCACCAGTTTATCTCTTTTCCTATCAATATTTGTAATTTGTGGCTGATCTGCCAGTTTCAAAGAGTTGAAAACTTACAACGTGTTCATGCAAGACATGATCACCTTCTGTGTGATGTCAAGCCTCATCCATCTTTCACTGCTGTGAACAGAAGATGATGAATCTGAAAAAAAATTCAGGACAAGGACAGGTTACCTAATAAAATACAAATATTAGCTTCCAGATTGGATTGGAGAGTGATGATGAAGCAGCTATGTCAGCTTCAGGACAATGATTATAAAAAAGAGGAGAAAATAAAATTAAGATTTCTGATCACAATGGCTTTTTAAATCTATTTTGTGTATTAGCACTGAACATGCACATTGTGCTGATCAGTTTCTTGATATTAATAAACTTAAGAAAGTCCATAGACAATTTTCAAAGGTCATGCACTGTAGACAGAACAAATCCAAATTTTTATTGTAAGTCAAATTTTATAGTAAGTCAAAATCTTGTCCTTTATACAGCTCAACTTCTACAAATATTTTAAAGTGTTTCAATTATTTTTTAAAAAATGTTTTAAAAATAAGACATCAAGCATTCAAAATACAACTGATAAATCATGATCTTGCCACAGATAAAAGTCATGACATAAACCAAAAATATTCTGGAAGTCCTTCTTTTCTTATCCTTCTTTGTGCTCTTGTATCTTCTAAAATGAAGTTTCCTAGATAGATTTGTTATTGTACAGATAATATAAAAAGCATAATCTGATGAGAGAAATCATTAGCCTACAACATGCTCTCTGTAATTTTATCTGTCATTTCAGTAAAATACTGCAGTGTATGCATTAGGCTGGTGTATACTACTAAACTATACTGAAGACAGAGAAACATTCCTCTCCTTTTAAGTCAGAGCTTTGACACAAGACAGCTCGTAAATTATTTTCCATGGCAAAATAGTCTAAGTACTTGTAATTTAGAACTATTATTTGTGCAAAGAAAGATATAACTTAATTTTGTTTGGAAGGAGAATTACAACTGGAGAAGAGGATGTAGTCAATCACAGGGATTCTCTCACTTACAGGCCAGACAGAGGCAATAAACATTTACAACCGGCAGGAGCTAACACACAGTGCCTTATCTCAGAAATTTTGCATATATGAATACACTCTGCCTCCACAAATGCCACCTGTTGTTGCCCTGACCTTCATATGAAAATAAAGAGTGAACTAGTTTACAAGATTATTGAACTAGAACATCCTTGAAATATTTAAAGTATATTGAGAATCCTGGAAAAAGTAGAAAGTACATGGCAGTTATTCATGAAAGAGTATTTTATGGTTTGCTGGCTATCAGAAAGTACCCGTGAAATATATTGCCATTAAGTGATAAAATCACTATCAGGATGTATTACGGAAAATATTTGGCTGCAAGTCTGAATAACCTTTTTCAAATATATCCTGTAGATATATATTATTATAAAAAGGATTTAATTTAGCTGTAGCAAATATGACAACTCTTTCTAATACAATATACATAGTTAGTTTTCCCTTTTGGAAAGGTTTCATCCATTGCAGTTCATGTTTCTTTCTGCAGGATTTATTCACACAGTGATTTAATAATCATAGCCTTTTTCCTTTTCTGCCCAGAATAGTCTGGGTTTCTATCACAGGCACTTTATGTTATCTCTTAAATTCAGTTTGCAACACTTTCAATCTATGTACCCACAGTGTACAGGATTTATTTGTGTTAAATAATCTGCATCACTAATCCTAATTTGGATTTACATCTTTCAAAATTATGGATAAATCTGGATTTAATTTAAACCCTCTGACACTTCTATTTCTCAGTATGGTTTGACAGCATTTGGCAACGTGGTTTTTGGACACTTCATCAAAAGTGCTATCTGTTTGTACACACCAGCCAATAAAGATCTCACTTGTTTAGAGTTTAGAATTTTTCAACTAAACATTAAAATGTTAAAATTTTCATCTTCTATCTTTTTTAGTTGCAATGCATTACCCTTCACTATGGCAAGCTTCAATAATTTTCTCTTGGGCCTTTGCAGATGACTGCCTTCCCTATTTGTCATCTTCCTCTCAGCTGATTATGTTAAACTTGTAAATCACTCTCTCTGTACACCCTCTAATCCCTTTATCATCTTTGTTGCCCTTTTTGGGATTCCCTCCAGTCTGTATTTCCAGTGTTCTGAGGCACACACAACCGTGCAAGGTATTCTCATGTGTAACTGTTTCAAGGTTAGATGGAGTTAGGAATTATAACCTCCTTGGGTAATACAGTATTCAGAGTGCAGCATGCCATGCACCAGGATACAAATGTGCCTTTTCCACACTTCATCGTCCTGCTGAAAGCCATTATATATACCAAAGCATAAAATAACCCCAAACTACAGATAGATACATTTATGTAAATATTACGGATGTAAAATTAATAAAAACACAGGGAAAAGTCCTGGTCCTCTGCTGTCACAGGAATTTTTCTCATTATCACCAGTGTGGTCAAGATTGCTACATAGGTGGGTGTCTGCCTTCTGTTTTTGCAATTTGTCATTTTCAATCAATTTGTCATTACAAAATTGAGTTTAAATGTAATATATTTATAATAGAGGAATGTGAATACTCTGAAAGTCTCCTTAAATTATTCTTTTTGCCAAACTCTGATATAAAGAAAATTTATCTCACTGCAAAATTAAATTTCTAGTTCTTGCCTTCATCCCATTGAGACTTACAAAGGAATAACAGGGAACTAATCAAGTTCTTCAGATGAATAGCAGTGGACAGTCTTGACAGTCTGGCATGTATAGCATTTCTTCCTTACCTTCAGAAAACCCTTTCATTTCACTGTAAGATTGCCTAAGTCATAATTTCCCTTTTAATTAACTTGGATTTCATTGTTCTTCTGTTATTGTGATGTTTCTGCTACACCAGTGACTCTGTAATCATTGTAATATGCTTCCTCCTTCTTTACATTTTCTTTTTTTAATATTTAAAAAAATTTTTCCCTTCTCCAGAATTTGCAACTATGGTGGCTGAGTCATAAAGGCTTTGACCAATGCAAACCCTTCACCCATCCTTCACTGCCCAATTCCAACCACCTCCTGCTGACTGCTTTGGCTCCCGTTATATTTATTTATGTTATTTTATACTCCAGCTCTGTTCTCTGCAATCCTGCAACTCTGTAACTGTGCTGAAAGACACTGTTAAAATAATAAAGGTCACATCAATCTGGACTTTATTCTCTCTCACTAGAACTTGTTTCTTATTTCATGTAGGCTTGGCACACGCTGAGAGAAAATTTTACTCTTTTTTGCTGACATCCCTGCTGCTTTATCCCTAGCTAGGGTAAGGTGGGAAGAAATTTTTAAAATTATTTGGGATAAAATATGCATATAATGAGTCATCCAGTATAAGATTCGAACTGTGGCAAAACTGACTGCATTATTTTTAAGCCATCCCTGCTAAGTGGATGCATACTCATAGCCTGGAAAATCTCTAGTGATGGCAATTACCCAACTTCATTTGGCAGTTTGTTCTTTCGATTTAATCAGTGTTATAGCTAAAAAGCAATTCCTAATATTTAACCTACATCTCTCCTGCTGCATTTTGGTGATCAGAAAATTGATCCTTGTCTGTATCATTTGTTAAATTTGCCTGGTGCAGGGGGATTTTTGTGTAAAAGTTTTGACAGGAATATCAGTTGGTGTCAATCATGCATGGGGATAACTTCTTAATAACTATTAAAAAGTGGTCACTTGTGAAACACAGAATATATTTCCTACCAATTGTTACACAGCTATCTAGGACAGAAAGAATGGAATACTCACAAGAAACAACAGTATGAACTTCAGGAAAATGGACGCCAAGATTCAGGTGTGATGCTGCTGTTGACACTCCCACTGTTAAAATAGTATATTAAAAAATCCCAGCAAAAATAATTTATTCTAAAACTTTACCAGAGAAGTGACTATCTTGTTTTGAGTTACATATAGGAAACTGAGACTCAAGATAAAGAAATTACTAGCCAACAGTAAGCCTATGACAGAACTAAGAGCTAAACATTTGTTTCCCAAATCCTGTTCAGTAACTTTGGCACCAAGCTCAAGATTTTTACCTCATGCAGTGGGGGTGGGGGTGGGGAGTGGGGGTGGTCAAAGAGGAGAACCCTTTTAGGCAACATCTTCCCCGTATCTTGACAGAACATTGATTTCTACTGCAATAAAAAAGAAGGATAATTGCCATTTCTGGATTCCAAACTATTCCCTGAAGCAAGAATACCTTATTCCATTTAGACTCATCTCTAATTTAATATAAACAAAAAGACAAAGTTGAAACCCTCTCACAACCGCATTGTACAGAATACCATTTGTGACACAGTGATTACCCAATGCTACTCAGGAAGACAATAAACACTCGCTAAAGCCATTCTAGCTTTTCACTCTGTAGTAACTTACAAGGAAGACTTTTTGCTGAACCTGCTGTGTGTTCAAAAGAAATCCTTTGTTTTTGCACAATGTCTAGACGGATCTGAAGAATGTATTGATTTTTAACTATTCTAAATAAAGAGAACGAAAACGGATTGCGATTTACCTATTTTTCTCGGCAGCTGCTGACCTCAAGTGGTCATAAAGCGTAATTACAAGAGTATTGCAGGGCTACCAAAAAAAAAAAAAAAAACAAACAAACAAAAAAACCCCACATTAGGAAGTCAGCTATTGAAGTATCATGAATGAAGATCCATGCAGTCAGAGAATCTACATAAACATCGCTATATAAACAAAGCCCTTTATAGTCTCTTTCTATTCTTTGAATCTTCAAGGGTTTATATTTTAATGCTTCACTGGATGGCATGAAAGCTGAAATTTTACCCATGGATTTAACAAAAAAAAAGCACAACAGAACAAACAGCAAATAAACACTGCCATTAATGAGTCTAAAATTTATTTATAGTACATTATGTGAAACAAAGTAAGTTACAGCAACATTCATGGGAATATTTTATTGGCATAAAAGTCTGAAGACCCTAATGGTTCCTATAACAGTCTTTGTTCACATTATTCCTTCAATCACTCCCGAACAAGCAACATTGAGTGCCTAATTTAGCCTGAATTTTTGCAGCTATATAGTAATGGATAAGATGAAAAGACACATCCTTTACTTTCAAACTGAAAAAGTTACACCGAGTCCTCCAAAATACCACCTTTACTTTTCATGGTGGCAGTATCTGATATTCTAAACATGCATTTGGTCAGTTTATTCAAATATGCAATTGGTATACTCAGAATTTGCATATAATCTGTTTTAAACGACTTTTTTTTCCTAACTGTATTGTAAATTCGAAGTTCAATATTTCATGCCTCTATTACTGAAGAAAAAAATTTCAAACATCTGTGTAATATAAATAAATCTCTGCCCAAACATAAAATGAGTGTTTTAGCAATCATCATCAAACTATTACTTTTTTTCACTGCTGGCTCTTCAATGTTTATCTTAGCTTCTCACTTTTCCCACCCAAATTCCTTCCAAACCTTCCTCAAATCTTCAACTGTTCCATTTCCAGTTAACAAAAATTCTCAGAATTTTCCTGTTGGGTGGAAATTATCTAGTCATGGTTCAAAATGCATCAGACAAATGCAAAATTTTAAGTTACAATAAGATATGAAATAAAACATTATATGTAGAATATATTATTCATTTTCATATTGCTCTCATTTTAATATCTTTAAGACTGTCACAAAAACTACTGTAAAGACTGAAGAAAGCAGAATTTGCTAGAAAATTTAATCAGACTTTCAGCAGAGTGTGGCTTGACAAATACCAAAAAAGTCACATTACCCCGGAATGTACTATTTCATGAAGAATAATGTTTTAATTTTCAGAGTCATAAGCAAAGGAGCAAAATTAAGTTTCTCCAAGAAACATTTACCTTAAATTTCTTAACTGGCATGTTACATCTTCTTCTTTGTCCTGAACAGTAGTGTTCCATAATTTTCTTCCCTATTGTAATACAGTAGAAGTTATGAAAAAAGACTCAACTCTAGCCATCACATTGAAGACAAAATTTTAAATAACAAGCACACATCTTTTCCTTAGATTCATAGCCAATGGTTTGTAATGAGACACAACTGGATGATTTAAGATATGTAAATTATGTTTACACATTCAAAAAAAAGACACTATTTGTTCACATTGGTATTGTATATTGCTAGGGAATACAGCTTGCTCTCAGCTACAATTCAAAAGGAAGAAGAGACAAATCCTTAAGTCATAGATAAAGCATCATTTCCTGACAAATTACATTAACATTTAACAAAAGGGCTTTGTACCAACAGACCATCACCAACTCTTAATAAATTTCTTCAATCATCTTTTACCATTACCAAACCTAACCAACAAATTAATAATTGTTTATGCTTTAAGGGTCCTGCCAAGCTCTTAATGGATTTCCATGGATCAGCAATTTTCCACATCTTATTTTGGGAATCAAATGGACTGGAGGCCATAACACCTGTTCACTTTGCAAAAGCTGAGCTAGGATTTATATTTACAGTGTATTCACCAGTCCTGAGCTCAACACTGCCTCATATCCTGTGATTACTTTGACACTTTGTTCACTTCATTAAAGCAAAGCTTGCTTGTTTGCTTCTTTTGTCTTTTCTGACTTTGCATCTTTTTGGGGGGAAGTAAGGACAATTTTCCCTAGTTTCTAAATACTTTCAAAGACTGGAAATGCAGTTCACATTCTCCTGTGTTATAGTATCAAAACATTAAAAATATTCTGTCCAAAACAGAGTTAATATTGTTATGGGATTAAAAACTGCAGCATTACATAATATTTGCAACAAGTTCTGCCTCAACAAAATAATATCAAGGATTATGAGTTTATACAAGGTTCACTGAAGACACAAACTAGACCACAAAATTTTTATTAATGATCATAAAGCACAAAAGAACTTCATTTGACTAAAATCCCAAATTGAGATTTAAGTGGTCAGCTGATAGAGAACACATTATTTTATTTATAAATTAATTGCAAATGAAAGAGAAATTGCACTGCATGCATTAACACAGTAAAACTGAGTTGTGGTTAAAGCATGTGCTGACATTCTTTTTCTACCACCATCCAGGCTTTAGCACATGCCAGTGATTAAAATACTTCCTCTAGGTCATGGACTCTGTCATAGCTAACATGTGCTTGAACCTGAGCTGCTGCACCTTCATTCTGAGAGGGTGTTTTAGCAGATTATTTTTTCCAAAGAGACACACCTTTTAGAAATGCCAGCACTCCCCAGAGCTCCAACATTTAAAACAGTGTTTCTCCTAAACAAGAGTGAAGCCAAATGTGTCTGAAAGGGTTGGCTGTGTCCATGAGAGATCAATCACCAAAACTTTCCCAGATAGTAGGATCTCCTAATGTGGGATAATTACTTCACAAGAGAGGAAGTACATTTCCAGTTACTGCTCTTCTCCTTAATGAAGTAACAAAGCTTAACAAAGGTTGATACAATTTTAAAGACAGAAGTTAATATAAATACAGGGTCCCTTCTCCAGCCACCAGAAAAAAAAAAAAAAAAAAAAAAAAAAATAGACTGCACGAGCTACAACAATAAATGGATCAGAAGATACAAATAAAAATACAGGAAAGCACTTAATAAGCCATTGGAACATGCAGTTAGGAAAGTCTTTTTTCATAAACTCATTCAGTCTTCCACCTAGGATGATCTCAGGAAAGGATCTTGTCAGTGTCTGAATCAGAATTTCTAATTATTATTGCAACAACAGTTTTTAATACCAGGAGATGCTCATCTGAGCAATTAATGGTTTACATACAAAAAAACAGTTGGTTTCACTGGTGTTACAGCAGCACAACGCCAGCTTTAACAAATGGATACTTAGGCCTTCAAGTAGTAAGAACAGGGCAACTCCCCCAACGTGGCCAGTAGAGCTTCTAGACTGGTCATAAGAGGCTCAGGACCAGAGCTTAATGCTTAAATCATTTATTATTGGAGGTAAGGTCCATCAGTTGCTTAAAAGCCAAACGGTTCAGAGACATTTTCAGGTTTTGGAAATGTTGTCTAGAAAGATTTCTTTAATTCTAACATTTTGTTAAGAAACTCCACTTCCTGTATTTTCACAATGCAATGCAGTTTTTAAAAAGTATCACTAGGAAGGTACTAAAATATAAAGATAATAACAAATTATCAAGCACTTATTACTGCTCTAATATAAAGAGGAATAAAAATTATGTGGCTGTGCTAATTTTATGCTTCCTTCTGCAGATGAATGAAGATTTTCTGTCTTAAAACATCTGCATTCCCCTCCCTTAAAGTAATTTTCAGTTTTGCTGGATACAGCACAATTGTATCTACTCCTTCAGCTGCAATGAGTTGTTGAAATTGAGCTATTCCCCAGCACCTGCTCTTAGTCAGACAGCTGAAATCAGAGGTTAGGGGAAAAAATAAAGATTTTATGTCATTGTAATGCAAGTCTCCTTTTAGCTTTGCTGCAGTAAGTGTTTAATTGGGTTCTGTAAAAATTTTCATTACTAGAGCTAGTGTTTCTCTGTTCCTCTCTCCATGTATTAACTTTCTCATTCATATGTGATAGCCTTCTTAGAAAAGCAGAGGTGTCATAAAAGACATTTGTCCATACATTTAAGGAGTCTACAGCTTTTTTGACTTGTTGGGGATCCTAGTGTTCAAATGTACCTTCATTTTGACTGCTCCAAAGGAAGATAACTGATACAATAGAACTTAAATTATTTCTCACTGAAGGCCTTATAGGTCAAAATTAACCTGAAATTTCATCTACTCGAATACAAAACACAGAACATGTAACAATGAAGGGCTCCCACATAATTTTTTTCCTGGGTGTATCCTATTTTTACAAGCTCAGAATCCTTCTAATTCAGAATTGTTCTAAATTCACTGTGTAGCCCAGATGTTTCAGACTTCATCACAAGCAGGAACCAAGGCCCTATGCCTATAGGAAGAAAGCCGCAAAGACTTTGACCAGCAAGACGCTGCAGCAAATGGGAAGGAAGTAGCTGGTGTGAACAGCTACTGGGAACACAGGAGGGGAAGGCTTGATTTTGAAGTAAGAGAGAACAACATTACTTGGACAGAGAGCTCTGAGACAGGGGCCAGAGGGTGAACCACACAGAAATTCAGCATCTTGAATGGGGCTTGGGGAAAAGGAAATCCAGAGCAGGAAGGATTGGAGATGATTAGAGGGAGTATTTGAAAAGCTTAGACCAGAAGAGGTTTTATTATAAAATAAACATGTTATAATAAATTGACCTTGAAAAGAAAAGACATGGATAAGGTGGAAAAGTTTGTGCCTAAAAATTAACCTGTTAGAAAAGTGGAAATTATAGAAAACAGAGTGTTGTATACTCTTGAAAATTTAATTAGGAGTCTCATATTATTTCTTGTCTCCTTCCTTCATTAAACCTCCAGGTCCTGGAGTCACATGGCTGACTCACAGTTTTCATCAAGGGGAACAAAATTCTAGCTGTCATGCCTGCAGAGAAAACCTTGAACATTCAAACCCTAAAAACATAAACAGAATATAATCCAAAACATAATGTTTTATGTTTTAATAAATCTCATGATTTGAATGTAGTCTGTCTTAGAGTTTTTAACAAGAGATACAGCATGAGCATAAACCTAGCAGCTCTTTTCTAAGCAGGCAGCACGCAGAAATACAGAAAGAGATTCCCAGCTGATATCATAGTCATCATCACCGCATAATGATTGACATGCTGGAATTACGGGTAGCTCATTTAAAGATGTCATGTATTCCACAGATTAACCTCTTTGCCATGATGCAGAAGCATACTCACTGCTCACTCACCAGCATCCAATCACCATATGCACGACTGTGCAAAAGAGCATGACAATGACTGCTCCAATAATAGCGTACTCACAGCTGAGAAAGGTTCAGGCCAAACACAAGGCCATAGCAGGTCCTCAGTCTGTCACAGATACTCCACCATGGAGAGGTCTATACAACAATAAGACTTTCTGTATGAAGTTACAGATCCATGATCAAATGCTTTGGGGTATATTATTAAAAACTAAATAAAGATTTAGGTTTTGTTCCCAGCAGTTTCCCTAACTTCCATGTGCAAGAACAAACAAGTAAAGATTTAGTCTGGAATTTTTTCAGACAGAAATTATTACAGCATAATTATTCACCCTAAATTCTCCTTATTTTTATCCTTGTGGATTTGAATGCATCCTTGAGAAATCTGTCCCTCATTCCATAATCTCAGAAGAAAGGACATAACAGTTATAATTAACATATTCAAACCAAGCTTACAGCCTTGTAGAGGTACCTACCCTACATCTAATAATTTACCGCTTTTCATTGATGCCACAACTGCCATTCATTTCTAACTTCCACTTTCCCAACATAGTGGATCAGTAACAAATGACAGATATTCCAGATCAGTCAAAAGTGCCATTGTAACTGCCAACAAATCCTTTGGCTGACTCAACCATTTCATAATCATCTTACATTTTAGTGCACCAAGTCTCAGGCAAAAAGCCTTCATATCCACATCTCAGCCCCTACCACAAAACTGAAAAATCTGAAAACCTGGAACTATAATGCCATTATCAACAGTGATATAGAAAGCATCCAAAATCCTACTTCTGTGCTAATAGCCCCACTCTGAAAAGAAACAAAAGGCAATTTGTGGGATGCCAAATGAAGTAGCCCTCAAAATAGATGAAGTTTCTATTTATTCTACTGCATGGGGAAAGTGTAAAGAATGGAAATGTACAATAAAATTTACACATCCATTCTTGAAGTTTTCAAAGCCCTCCAGACATATCAGTAAACACTCATAGTCAATTCTGTAAGAATCTATACAGATTTAAAAAGCTGCATGAACTCTGAATATTCATCCATTTGCAAGATATTTCTGATACTGTTTTGTCACAGTTTCAAGTAACATAAAATTTTAAAAAGAACATTAAAAAATGGAACACTTGGTATTTAAGAGATTTCTTACAGAAAGATCTACTAATTCCTTTCCTCAACATTAATGCCCTCCTGAGAAGCATTTCTTACTCCAAGGAAAGCTACATTACTTCCTCAGTAGCTCATCAGGCAGCACGTTCAAGTTACAGGTTGGAACCTGCTTAACTCTGAACATACCCAGAATGTTTGCGTCTATATGTGAATAACTATAAAAACAAGACCTAAGAATATTAATTAGTGAATTCTGCCTCACAAAAATAACTTTTTAACATATATATGTTGTGAGGGAGACAATTAAGTGATTTGCACAGCTGTATTGGGTTTGCAGTACCAGACAGAATCTGAAGCACAAGCCAGACACCAGTCTAAAAGACTGTATGACATTGGTTTAATTGTCATTATAAGGCCTTACCTTGCTTCTGAAATTCCTTGCCACTCCTACTGGAGCTGCAGTTCCACCATTGCTGCATTCTGTAGTCGGATGAAATGTGAGCCACCTATAGACATGTGCAGTTTATCTGCTGTTTTGTGACCACTGCCTAAAGGAATGAGACTGCAAATTTCAGGGTCTTGTGGTTGTCAGGGTAATTTATCCTGCTCACATTAGAGAAGGAGAAAGATTAGAGAGCACTTCCCACTCAAAGGAATCATGTTTTATTTGAGGGAGAAATGAAACGTGAATAAAAAGAGTGATCTATTTCTCCTTAGCTCATAAATACAGGATTTAACCTAATAAACACCTCTCTAGGGTAAGGACATCATCCTCTGGTTTTGGTTGTTTGGATTTAAAAAAAAAAAAAAATCTGCAGGGTTTCTCTTTCTCTCTCTTTCTCACATACTCAAGATGAGAGTGGCTTCAATGAGCAGAGCTCCCAGTATTCCAATTTATTCAGCAGCAACCCCTGTGGACTGTTAACATCAGACTGTGATTCTGCTTGGATTACAAGGTGTAGATAAGCAATTCCATCCTTAAACTATCACTGTCACTGCCAGTACAGGAACAACTTTTACCTGTTGGAGGTCAGACATAGGAAAAGGTTGAGATTGGGAAAAAAAATGTGGGGGCAAAAGGACAGCAGAAATAGAGAGGATACAAGTCCCTTAAGAGCTCTATGGGCAAGTGCATGTGGAGGTGAGTTGGAAATGAAAGCATGGGATGAGGGACCAGGTTGCTAATAAGAAAGCAGCAAACAGAAAAGAGATAGCCAGATTCCAAGAAGAATTTTTCAACAGCAAAGAAAATCTCACTTCCAACATAATCTGTGCTTTCTATTACACTGATCCCTACTAAAGATGTTTGCAGCTTCAGTAAATGCTGATGGATACTACTACATTACACCCACGATCAATAAATCTCAAGTACATGATAATGGAGCCTCAAAGCCTTCGCATACAGACCTGTCAGTAACTGGGACAATATTACAAATAGACAACAAAGGATAATGCAAAGATTGCAAAAATGGAACAACACAGACACAAATTAATTTCTTGGAGGATGGAGCAGAAGGCAGAAAAGATGAAAAAGGAGGTAAGCTCCTCCAGACATAAATGATGGAGAACATTAATAACTGCACACCTATTTTATGTGATGGAGGTTTCAGGAATGGAAGAGAAAACAGTGAGAGCAATAATAAGACCTGGGATTAATTTTTCTTTTCCTTTTTAAAAGAACCCTTAGTAGTGACTCCAGCACTATACTTTGCTACAGTAATCATCTACAATTAGTCTCTGCCCACTCAGGCTAGAGAAGTCCCTTTCATATTTTTGTCACAGAAACAATTATTTTTTTTAATGTGTATATATAAGATTCCACTGATTTTTCTGCATGTACTTCTTTTTATGTTATTTGTTTCCCTGGCTAGCTATCTGGCAGATATGTCTTGTAGTCACAAACATGTAAAATGGGTCATTCATACTAGAAAAGACAAAAAAAGCTGCCTTCTAATCAGGCACTACCTTGAAGTTAAAATAAAACTTGGAAAAAATTATTTTCAACCAAATTTACTCTTGGAATTTGCAATCTTATAACGCAAATAGATATGCATTATTATGGTTCAATGAATACTGAAGAGAACAAAGCTGGTGAAGGGTCTAGAACATGAGTACTATGAGGTGCAGCTGAAGGAACTGGGGTTGTTTAGCCTGGAGAAAATGAGGCTCAGGGGAGACCTTATCACTTTCTACAACTACCTGAAAGGAGGGTGTTGGTCTCCCAAGTAACAAGCGATATGACAAGAGGAAATAGCCTCAAGTTGAGCCAGGGGAGGTTTAGATTGGATATTAGGAAAAATTTCTTCACCGAAAGTGTTGTCAAGCATTGGACCAGGCTGCCTGGGGAATTGGTTGAGTCACCATCCCTGGAGGTATTTAAAAGATGTGTAGATGTGAAACATAGGTACTTGGTTTACTGGTGGACTTGGCAGTGCTAAGTTTACGGTTGGACTTTACCAACCTAAACAATTCTGTTTCTCTTCTCAAGCTTACTTACTGCTTTTCATAATAAGCAGATTCTGCACTCCACAATAAACAACCTGAAGTTTATACCCTGAAAAATATTGCTTTTTATTAATGATATGCTTTCTAACAGCATAAGATCTTTCAAGGAGATTGGAAGGAGGGGAAAAGCCAGGAAGCTTGAGAGGCAGGTTTTTCACCTCTAACCCATTTAAACCCATTAAGTTTGACTTGGACTGCTTAAGGAAGACAGAAGATCAATTTAAATATTAAGAATAGGGCATAGAAGTAGTTCGATAGTCAAGGGAGATTCGAGTAAAAATATTTAAAAGAATAAAAATAATTAATGGAAGCAACCTATTACAGTGTCAAAGACTACAAAAATAACAAAGAAAGGAAAAAGATGAACAAAATGCTGAGATACTAAGAAATTGGTAAGCAAGAAGTCGCTCTCGGAGATCAGTAACATAGTCAAAAGCAAGAAATTGTATGAACTGAAGGAAAGGATAAATAAAATTCTGACCCGGGTTGAGAAGAAATGTTGCTCAACTTCCACACCGGACAAACAGGCCTTGCAAACTGGCTATTTTAAACATGCTGACCGGACTGACTCTGTGAAATTCAGGAGATCTGTGGCCGACTCATAAGCAGCCACAGCAAATAACAAAGTGGGGTGCAGTTTCAACTCCCGCTCCGATTTGACTGCACCTCTAAGACCTGAGGGAAAAGTGACCCAAATCAGGGGGCTGCTGCAGGCGGTGGCAAGACACACCCACCGCCCTATCGCCGCGTAGGCCTCACGGCCGGCCCCCTCGCCCCAGCCGTCATGGCAGCCCCCGCCCGCCGCTCACGGCCCAGAACGTGTGAGGGGCACCGCCGCCGGGTACCGGCGGCGCAGGGGAGCGGCGCGTTCCCGTCCCACGGGGCGGAGAACCATGGCAGTGGGGAGGGGGCAGAAAGAGGAGCGCGCCATTGCGCGCACGCGTAAGAACGCACTGCGCCAGGCCTGAGCGCGAGGGCGCTGCTGCGCGAGAGATCCCATTCCGTGGGGTCGTAGGCGGGAAATGGAGCCTCCTCCTCGCTCTCACTTGTCTTGTCTCTGCTTGCTGCTGCCGCGCCTCGACCCCGCGGCCCTTTGCCCATAACTGTATTATTTTCTGCCCTGTTCCCAGTGGGCTACTTTCCGCTCCGTGGGACGGTCCCCTGTGTTCTACCCAATAACAAGCCGGCTCCTGATGACATCGTTAGTTGCTAGGCTTACACTACTCCGGGGTCCCCGCAACACCAGGCGCCATCCGCCCAGCGCGTCACCCAGCCTTAGCCCACAGAGGGGGCGGGGGGCCGGGTTTGAATGACAGGCCGTTTGGTGGGCGGGAAAAGATAACAGAACCAATAAGAACTCTGGATAGCATTAATAAGCAGGGCTTCCAGCCAACCGAGCTGGGCGGGCGGTCCCTGCCCCAAGGAGGTGGGCCGCTCTGTTGCTAGGGCCGCTCTGTTGCTAGGGCCGCGGCTGCCGCCACGGCTCTGCCGCGGCCTTCCCGGCCTGCCGCCGCCTTCCCGGGCTGCGGCGATGGTGAAGCTCGCTGCCATGTGCGTCCTGGCAGGTGAGTCCAGCCCGGCCGGTGCCATTCGCCCCACTGGCTGCCGGGGCCTGGAGCGGGGTCCGTAGAGTGGACCGAGGTGACGGAGCGGGGTGGCGCTGGGATGTCCGGGCCCCCTCTACGAGGGAGGATCCCCCGGCGGGTAATGGTCTGGCTGCCCTCGGCTCCTTGTGCCGGGGTCGCCCCGTCTGAGAAGAGGTGGGGACCTCACCTACCCCGTGTCCTCTGTCTTCTACGCCATGAAGGGAAGGGGAGAGGAAGGGAAGGGAAGGGGAGAGGAAGGGAAGGGAAGGGGAGAGGAAGGGAAGGGAAGGGAAGGAGAGAGGAAGGGAAGGAAAAGGATGAGAATGGGGAAAGTGTGAAAGAAGCAAGGTAGACAGCCGAGTCCTGCCTCATAGAGGAGGCTCCCCTTGTGCTGGAGGAAAAATTCATGTCAGAAATTGTGATGATTATGAGACTGGTATGGTATGGTTGAGCCTTCGCAAAAACCAGAAGGACAAAGCATGTGCACTTCAGAGGCATCTTTTTCTCCAAGCAAATTGGAAGTTAACCTAAAAAAAGTGAAGACACCAGTCTATTTAGTCAGGATGGATTATAGAGGTGCTAAAAGTAAGTACAGCTGACAGTGAACACTGCAGGAAGAAAACTTTTTTCCCATGCTGTACATTGAAGCTTTGTGCAGCCTCAGCCAGAAGCACATATCCATAAATCTTTCGTGTGCAGACAACACCCAGGTTTAACTTGTTGCTCCAAACTTATTTTCTTTCATCCGGAATAAAATATTTTCCTTTTTTAAAAAACCTCAGAAGCAGCTAACCATCAACTCACGCAAAGCCAGGTGTGATCTTTGGCAAATGCAAAAGAATTAATCTCCCTTGTGCCTCTGTTGAAAGTTACTGTGGACAGCGTAAGTATCTTGCCGGTTTTCTCAATTTGAAACTTGCACATCATTTCCAATTTGGAAGTTTTCAGGTCCCAGTATTTAGTCATTCAAGTTTTGTTGTTTAGTGTTACCAGAGGCCAATTCCATTAGCATTTTAAATTCATATAGTTTTTCTTTGGATGACCTAGTTATGTGCTTTAATCCTAATTGGGTCTGGAGCTGCCTTTTCAGTTCTGTTTGCAACACAAACAACAGGAAAGTCCTGTCCCATATATCATTCTTCCAAATAATACTACAATAATATCCATGTATTATGAAAAATAAAAAAAAATAATGAAGCAGACCAGGCAAAGTAACTTCTGTCTTGCAGAAGAGATCAATATAGTGAACGAGACATAAAAGATACCATAATAACCTAAAGGGAATGAGAAAATGCAGTTACATAGGTAGAAGCAAAACCAGAGATGGAACAAGGAACTCTTGTGTACCTAAGGAAATGGTTATGAAGCATAGAGTGGTTTACAGCATTGGGACCTGCACTAAGGTTAAAGAGAACAACAGGGGAAAAGGGCTCTTATTAGTGAAAGAGACACTATTAACTTGACAATAGAAAGCGATTCCTGTGTTATCTCAAGGGTAATTTACAGACATGCAGTAAAAGATATTGTTGTTTGAGCTTAGTATAGAGTTACTATGAAAAGGTTTCCATTGTCGAAAGACAGTTGGCAGTAGCAGACATTTTAGAGACACACTACTGATTCTGGCAGAATAACAGAAATACGGGTGGAATAAATACTGTGGGATGCAGTGCTGGCAGATGAGACCAAACTAAATGAAAAGGGCAAGAAAACGTATTTTGAGAAACTCTAGTGATGTAATGGTTTAAGAGGATGTCAAAGAACAACTGGGGCTGTCAAAGTGAAGAAAGGCAACACATTAGTTAAGAATTTGCACTGGATGATGCCTGCACAGTTGGAGCAATGTGTGCTTCTCTATCTCATTTTACAAAGGCAGATCTAATTGTCTATTGAAGTACAGAATAGCTTCCACTCAGAACAGAGTGTTGTCTTCAGCACAAGCTTGAACTGATCAGGGAACAAAATGCTGACTTACCAGATTTTCCTGTCTAAATATTATGAGCCCAACTCAGCTCAAAGTAAGCAAGCATGCTAAAAATGTTTTAACAAGAAATGCATTCAGTTAAAGTATCCAGGAGCAATTGTCACTATCCAAAACACCCTTCCTCTTCTATAATATTATGAGAGCAGATAGCTTTATCAATTTCCTCCAAACAACATCTAGGAAGCTGTAATAATGTCAAAATATACACCTTTCTGGGTTTATTTCTTAACAACATAATGTAAAAGACTTTTATTCCAGTCTTGGTGGTCCTGAGTGTTCCTTTAAGGTTAAAGCTGGAACCACTGAGGTATTTCTTTCCTGATTCCTGTCCTTTGAACTATCCAGGCTAGTGAGACAGTATGTGAAGAGAGGATAAGCCCTTCAGGAACATTAAGTCTTTCTTTTTCAAGGATTATGATAATATTAATGAAGTTTTATGGGCATATGTGAATTCTGCTGTTCTCTGCCATTGCTTTGGATCTTACAGAGTTCTGTAACAGCAGGCCATAACAGACAGCTGCCAGGTTTGCCCAAAGTTGTGCAAGCCATACAAGAAAGCCTTGGCTCTAGAAGAGCAAAAGATAAAACCTCTTGGTTTTCCTTCTGTATAGGGATGAATCAGCAAGCTCTTTCTCTCCAGCCAAGTGACATTTGCTTGTTATGCACAGGATGCAACTAATGAGCCACCAGCAGCACTGAGTCAGCAAGAGTTGCTCTCTTAGCAGGGTCAGCAAGAAGAGTTCATCGAGGAATGTTACTGGCTTAAGCAGCTTTGTAGTATATAAAGGACCTGTCTCTTTCCTAAACTCAGTATATAACAAGGATTTGAATCTGGGGAAGTGGGTAATCTGAGGAGAGGAAAGAGCCCTCCTGTGCAGCCCAGGCTCCCTTATCACACTATGTTTTTCTCTACATGATAACATATCTGGGCAATTTTAGTTCTTAGGTAAGGGCTATAGGATAGACATGAATTTTAGAACAAACAGCAGTTTCACCCTGATCCATGGGGCCTTTACTAAAGCAGAAATCTGATGTCAGCACCAGTATGCATAATGGCAATATTCATTTCCTCATGTGGATATTACCTTTTAGATTGTTTTGTGATCCTTGGGACAGTTATCTTGTCTGTATTCCAAGTTACACCATCCAAGCTCTTATGGCACAGGATAATAACAGAAATGAAGGAAAATAGGAATCTCTAAGATGAAACAAAAATCTTTTATGTTTTTGCTTTTTCAGGAGATCCAACTGTGGGGAAGAGTGCTTTAGCCCAGATGTTCCGCAATGATGGGGCTCATTTTCAGAAGAACTACACACTGGTAAGCATACAACAAGCTCAAACTGCTATCCAACATTTTGATAAGTTGCAAGAGAAAACTAAGAAAATCTAGAACAAAATAAACAAGGTGATTTTAAGTTGAGGCATTCAAGGTGGGGTCTCATTGGGTTTTCTTTCTCTTACACCCTAGATTCTGAAGACAATCCGTTTTATGCTCTGTAAGTCTTTACATTATGTGGGTGCTGGTTTTGAAACATTGCAGAGTAATTTCATTCATTTTGTAATTTTCCTGCTGAACCAGTGTTTTCACAAGCTTTTGCGGTGTTAGGGAGCTTCCCCCTTTAGGGAGTGCTCTATGAAAAGGCATTGCTAAAGGAGAAAGCTTTTAATTCCAACTATTAAATGTGCATGTGGACAGTGTGCTTATCACTATGCAAACGTGAAGATGTGTTGCGTAGCCCCAAGATAATTATAATCTACAGAAACTGTTCCCAGATGAAGAGGATACAGTTTGCAGCCTTTCAGTGTGAGAATCAATGGTGATGACTAATCAGAAGCAGGATAAAAATAAAAGTAAATATAAGTAAAGTAAAAAAAGGAAAATATGAGTGTGGAGGAAAAAACCCTAAAATATGTTTGTTCATTGAAATAAAGATGGAAACCAGAAGTTAAGGATAGAAATAGAACAAACAAGCTATGAAGCAGAATGAGATAAAAGGTGGAAGAGGCAAAATAACCTCAGTTCCATATGTTAGCTGATCACATGGTTGGTGCAAAACGTTTTAAGGTGTGCTTTAGGGCAGCAGTGTGATAGTGAAGGTAGCCCTGCAGTTCAGCTAATCTTTTCGCTGGATATAAGCAGATCTCTGGACATTGGTTCTTCTCTGTCTTTTTCCCCCATCAGAGCAAATGTACTTGGCATTGACATGTATGTTACGAGAGCTAAGAGGAGTTCCCAGTAATCTACATTTGATGGGATTGTAATGATTCACAAGAATTGCCTTGATCCAATGTATGGTTGGTATGCAGTCAGATAGGCTCTTAAAAACACTTCTGATCCTTGTTTTTCTGATTTTTCTTGACAGACAACGGGCATAGAACTGTTGGTGAAGGCTGTATCAGTTCCAGAGACAAGTGATACTGTGGTGAGTTTTTCTGTGACATAAATTGGGTCAGAGAGAGGCATCCAGAGCTCAAACCTCACTTCAGTGTCATTCTGGTGGAAGATCACATGTTCATAAGGCCATTAAGTTGCATTAAGAAAATGAGGCTGATCGTGTACAATTGCTGATACTCCAGGGTTAGTTTAATCTTAAAAATATAAGTTCTGCATACTTGTATCCAACATGACATCTTAAACCAAAGCTGTTGCCAGCTTTGTTAGGATTCTCTTCAGTCCTTTAGGGCACTCAGGTTTGGTTCATGTTTCTTAAAACTACAGAAGCTGGAACTTGCCTGTTATTTTTCCTTAATGCCCTATACTCCCAGGAGTGGAATGTGGACCGCATGTATAATTTTGTTTAAATAGTGCGGGTTACTGTCCCTCTCCACATACTCTGTTTCCAATAGGGATGGAAAACAGACTTGGGGCCTTGGAAGTAATCCTTTTGTTGGTTATACATGAAAAATAGCTATTTCTTTTCTCATACTATCTGAACTAGAGTATTCTCAGTGGGGGAACTTGTTCCTCAGGGACATGACACTGCCATACTGAACAAAATACATGAGTTACAAGTTCCAGTATTTACTTTAAAAACCTTTCCCTACACTGCATTTTTCCTGGCAAGAGCCTTCTTTCTGCTTCCATTTTCAGGAATTCTTCATTTTTGACTCTGCAGGAAAAGATCTATTTTCTGAAATGCTGGAGAAACTGGTAAGTCTTATGTAACAGTCCTCTTCTTCCAAAGAAGTGCTTTTGCTTTGAAGATCTGAACTTCCCAGTCTGGCAGATGCAGCAAACTTTGTCTTTAGTGTAAATGGGAGCAATTGCCTTAGTTGCCAATGCATCCTGTTCTACCTCTCTAAAACTTGTAAAAGTGTTAGAAGAAATACTTTCCAGAGGAAGTAATGCAGGTAGTCATTCAGTTTTCTTAGAAAACAAAGGGATGTTTAACTGAGAATTGCTGTGTGCTGTTGGTTAAAGTTATTTTTATTTCTTAAAAAAACATCTATTTTGCTGCTACTCCAGTAATGGGGATTTTTTGTGTTATAGCGATGTGTTTGATCAAACAGGACTCATTCTTGTCCTTGAGCATAATATTGCCCTTGATTCTTTTTCCTTCACACATTTGTTATCTCAAATTGTTATCTCATTTTGAGATGTAGGATAAGTTAATTGATGTCAGGTTTCGTAAGATGGCTAAGTAAACTTAAGTTCATTGCTTTACAAGAGGCAATTCCACTTTTGCCCTTGCACTAGGTCTGGTTTGCAAGGGACTCCTCTAGAAGCTGGCTCAGCTTCTCAAACTGGAAGAAAACCTTTCTACTTTTTTCTCTAGGATTAATTTTGTGTTGATTCAGCATGAAGAATCAGCTTCCCCAGGGATCAGATGAGTGCCAGAGCCAATACAAGTGAAGGAGCAGGACTGTGCAGCAGGAATAGGGAAAGAGAGCAAGACCACCTCTCCCAGTGCCAGCTATCCATTTAGTCAGCTCAGCTGAAATGTGAAACCTCAGCCAGGGCATAGGATTCCTGTATGTTAGGCTTTTTATTTTTGTCTTAGCATCTGTGTTTGCCATGTGTACAGACTGGCTGTTTACCACATCAGTTTCATTAGAGCTGACAATGTTCCTTTCTTGCTGTGCAGTGGGAACAACCCAATGTCCTGTGCCTTGTGTATGATGTCACTAATGAGCAATCTTTCAACAACTGTGACAAGTGGTTGGAGAAGCTGAGGGCTCAAGCAGCTGGAGTGCACATCCCGGGTAAGAAATGGAGATTCTTGTTATCTGCTCCCCTCTTGTATGACAGCAGTTGTTCCTGTTGAGATGTGGCATAGAGCATTTCTTTTAAACCAGAGGCAGGCATGGCTTCCTCCAACTCATTTGCTCTTATCACAAAGCAGATAAAGCATCAGTATGTTTCCTTTGTGGAGCCTTTTCTAGGTAGTTGGAGACTGTTCTCCACACCTCCAACTTTTTCAGCTACAAATGTTATATCATTTATTGCTAACAAGTCAACATTTCTGGTTTGTTGGTTTTCCTTTGTTTCATGTTTTTTTCTGTAGGTGTCTTAGTGGGGAATAAAACAGACCTGATTGGTCGTCGAGTTGTGGAGCAGAAACAAGCACAGGAGTGGGCTGAGAAACATGGCCTGGAGTACTGTGAGATGTCAGTGGTGAGTATCTCCTCCTTTTACCATCTGTGGATGTTTGTAAACTTATCTTCCCTTTCACGTCAAGACAGATAATTGGAGGTTCTATTTTCCGTTTGTTTGTCATCTAACTCACCCTCAGTTTTAATGTCTTTTGTGAAGTAGGGCAGAATTAGTCAAATGCTTATTCCATCTCATTCACAACTTTCTTATTTTTTTTACAGAAGGAGATGAAAAATTTTGAGGCCCCTTTCCACATCCTGGCAAAGTCATTTCACCAACTGTACAAAGAAAAAGTGGAAACTTTTCACTCACTAGCTTGAGGGCCATTGACTGCCATGACTTATTTCTCCTCTAAGCTACTTCTAGTGCCCAGAATCCTGCAGGATGGAATACAAGAGAAGAAAAAAGATGAGCTATTTGCTTCTTCATGGTCATCTTCTGGTAATTCAAAATAAACTAGAAATAAGCAAGTGGAAAGACACTTTTCCAAAGTTGCTGCCTCAGCATTCATTTCATGTCCTCTAGCTTGGTTCTCTGCTCACTGCAAGTCTGCTAGGTTTGAGGAGGCGGGAACTAAAAGGGGAGGGCAGAATGGAAATTGCCAGCTCTGCTTGATACTGTCTTGTCTCTTTGTCTGAACAGACTTCCTGCTGCTACAAGCAAGGAGATAGAGGTTTAGAGAATTCGAAAGGAAACTGACAGGATGTTGTTCAACATATGCAACCCAACCTTGATACATATGTTGCAGGGCAGGACTGATTTGGCCCGGCAGCTTGAAAAGCATTTTCAGGAGGAGGCCTGTGCCCTAAAATCAACCCATGGAGACTGAGATGTGTGGGGACCAAGCTAGATTTGTTTCCAGGAGTGCCCAGAGTTTGAGGCCTGTTTTAACAGTGTTACCCTTATCAGTTGTAGGACTGATATGCTGATGACTGATTTGTGGTTTTGACTTCTAGAATCTGGTTCTTTTCTTCAGCGTGGCTCGCTTTCACTGCCTGATAGGAAGAGTGTTGTGTCTGTACCGCTGTCATTGGTAACGCAGTGCCCTCTGCTGGTTGCAGGTCACAAGATTTCTCAAGAAGCCACCTCTCGAAGCGAGCAGGACTTCCTGCAGGAACATCCAAACTGGCTTATCTGCAAAATGGGGTCAGATAGCAGGAATACCTCTTTTATTCTAAAGACGAGTCCAGAATTTAAAACAAATCATCTTTTCTTCTTCATGTCTTTGTCATTTTATGTGGGTTTGTGTCATTTTTCTTTTTGTCAGCTGAACTTGGCAATACCATGTTCTTATTAGGTTCAGTTCTCAATCCCTTACTAGAAGAAGAGTCCTCTTTGTTGTTAAACCTTCCTTGCTTATCCTTGAATTTTGGACTAAAGACCCGGATTCTGATGTTGCCAGTGGAAACAGGACTAAGGAAATGAAAGACAGCCTGGCTAAGTTACTCTGACTCAGCCATGTCTGGCTAGAAGTTTTGTATCAGAAAGGTTAAAAGCCTAGAGAGAACTGCTCTTTTGTGTGGGGTACTGATGTTGCATGTGTAAAAGTCTATTTGCTAACGCAGTAAATGCAAGTATCTGTGGTAAGGTACTGCCCTGTAACTGAGCCTAACACCGAGAAGTTCAAAAACTGTAACCTTTCACTTCTCCCAGATTACGTTAGCCTCCCTCTGGGCAAGGGAAGCTGAAATTTGTGGAGAGTAAGCACTGAGTGATTTTTTTCAGGTAGGCTTTTCAGGAATCTGTGTTTCAAGACTTCTGTAGGTGCATTTTATAACCATTTTTATGCCCAGTGCTGGGAAAAGTACATTGGATTGAACATAAGAAATATGGCTGCAGATCTTGTAGCAGAGTTTATGAAGCACTTCAAGAATCTGGAGAAGTAACCGGGCTCATTTCACTGGCGAATGTGTATTGATGCTAGGAATTAGCTAGGGATCATGAATACCAGCTAAAGAGGTTAAGTAGGAGCTCAGCCCACAAGAAAAGAAAATGAATAGGTTCTTTTGCTGGAAGCCACCTCAAAAAGCAACAGAGCCAGCTGAAAAAGCTCTTGCTTCCTCCAAAGAAAGGACTCATCCTCCATGGGTTTAGAGTAACTAGAAGGCTCACCCTTTTTTGAATTGAATTAGCATTACTGGCATTTGTATCTTACACGGGTTGTCTTGTTAATCCTGGAGAGTTTCTGTTGATTTACATCAGCTGAGTAGAGTCTTGCCTGCAGGTGCTCAGTACTTCTGACTATTATGAATAAAAGTTATTTTGGATGCTGTGCTGGTCTAGTTAAAGAACTAACGAAGGTTTGTTTTGATTTGGTAGCTCATTTCCCTTGGTTCTATTGATGATGTGATTACAACATAAGACAGATATTTTTTCATACTGAAAATAGCATGCCAGGTGTGTATGCCACCTGTGATGTGGTGTATAGGGGGGGATGAACACTTTGGGAATGGGTGATAAAATGAATCTTATGCAATCTTTAACCAGGGAGTTCAATCTCTCTGCACTAGAAGGACCTCCCATAACTTCAAATAGTCTAAATGCACCAGTAAGATGAAGATTGGTGAATGCTGTTTTATTAAATGAATGTAAAAGCTAGAGGATCTCATTAAAGGAATTCTTGCAGTGGTGACTTGTGATTTATAGGGAAGTTGCTTTTGAGAGGTTAGTGAAGAAAAATGCATCCCATGCAGGGAAAGATATATTGCCTGAGAGAGGAAATGTATGATCTAATTAGCTAGCAGTAGGAATTCACTCACTGCCCCTTTCCCTCTTTCCACAGGCCATGCCTAGAATTAGAAAAGAGATTGTGTCTAAAGCATGTTTCCCAACTTGTATTTTACAGGACTATTTCAAGCACTAATGTAGACACAATTTAATGTCCTTCAAAATGGTATGTTTGACAATAACAATCTCTGTCCTTTCAAGTGCATTTTAAAAGCATAATATATTGTCCTTCCTGGCTAATGTGCTATAATACCAGCATGAGGCAGGTGATGCTTGTTGCTATTTTCCTAGCTTATTTGTGACCTTGGCTGTAGAGGCTAGTAGTGAAGAGTGGGTAGAGAACATGGGAGCCAGATATGGGAAGGCTGTGAAAAATAGTTTTGTGTCTGTGTGAAGGAGTTTAGGGTAGTGAGTAGGTGAGCTGGACAAGCAGGATGAGTAAGAGTCTGAAGACATTATTTTCTCTTACTGTGTTCAGTAACTGTTGCAGTCACATGTGTAGGGTGAGGATGCATGTTTGCTGCTTATAGCCTTAGCATCATGCTGAATTACAAATGCTGTGGAAAACAATGGGAGGAAGGCAGAAAGCCTGTCTGCTGACCAGGAAGCTTGACTAGGAGCTTCTTACAGCTCCTATACTTTGTCCAGCTGTGCAGTGCTGCAGGTGCTCAGCATGGGTGTTTACAACCCAAAAGAGACCCAGCTCAACCAAAACTGAAATTTCAAAAGAAGGGGAAAGAAACAAACAGGCTTTTATCCATTTTTAGAGATTCATATTCCTTCTTTTTCCTGCTCACTTGTTTGATTAGAGAGATCCTTGGAGACCCTCCTTACCTTTCCTTTGGTCCTCATGGTTCTGCTGAACAGAATCCCTGTTATACTTGTGCCCTGCTTTACTTAGCTTGATACATCACCAACCGATTATTTTTTTTTTATCCTTCTAATTTCTGCATTATCTATTCCCAAGGCTGCAAGACATTTCTTCTTAGAGAGATTAATAGACAAAAGAAAACAAAAGTGGAATTTTTAGTCAAATTGTCTTGGAAAAAAGAACCCTAAGAAGTGACATTTCAAAATTTTACTGGAAATTCATTTGTGTAAAGTTGTCATATTAAAAGTGTTTTTATGGTTTGTTTTGTCTTGCAAGACATTCTACTGTGGAGTGAAATGCAGAAAGATCAGATTTTATTGTGAGAGTTAATAGGAGTTTCAAAGCTGATCATACTGTGATAAGATCTGTTCAATCTTAACACTGGAATGGTCACTGCTGTTAATAATAAAGCATTAAATGTACTGAAATGGTGCTGTCAGAACAGTTTCTTATAGAGATTTGTTCATTTTAGAGACATAAAACTTAAGAAAGGACATCTTTCAGAAAACTGATCTGATAAATGGCACCATTTGGACCAGGCTAGTTTCTGATATAACTTCAGTGACTTAAAGGGCTGGATTTAGTCTTTTATGCCAATTGACTCCCCTGGGTAAGCTTCATTTCTTTATGCACTATACATCTTGGACCAATCTGACCCGATAGCAAAAGACACATGATGTTGTTGAAAATGAAATACTGCCTTGGGGCAGAAGGATAAACTGTGTGGCCTCCTGAGGTCCTCCCGGCAATACTTTCTATAATTCTATTAGATTAAATGGGGAAAGAAGTAGCGTGGAAAGCACAAAACAGGCTAAGTCATAAACTAGCAATTAAACTGGGAGCTGGGCTGGGCAACAGCAGAAAATGTACAATCTATCCCAATTAAGAGCTGTATCTCAAGAGAAACCAGGATCCTGACGCAGGTGCTGACAGCAGGAAAAACACTGCATTTCTGTTCTGTATGCAGCAACTGCTTTCTACTGGTGCTTACACAGATTCATGGGTGTCCATACCCTGCTCAAGACTGTGCTCTGCTTTTAATAATTACTGTATCTATGATGTTCAGGTGGCAACTGTTTGCAGTTGTTGTCTCATCTGCCTGTATAAAGCCAGCAGTATGATGGCAGGTTTTCTGCTAGTAGCAGGAAGACATTCCTGTTCTTGATGCCTGCATGATGGGACCCCTCTCTCCCCATGCGTTCTCAGTCCTTCTTTTCCTATCTCATATCCACTTCCTGATGGAGAATATCCACCTCTGCTTGTTCTTAGCAAGTAATTTTTCTGTCTTGCAGATGGTACTCTACAGAAGCTGGGGCTAAGGGACTTCTAGGACCTTTTGCAGCAGAGGTGGATTCTGAGCAGGAGCATATTGTCCCCTGCAACGTCTCTTCTTAGCCTAAGGGCACATCATCTCAGCTTCTTGCATCCTATTTCTTCCTCCTGCTGTCATCTTGCCTTGAGAACAATGTCTTCTTTGCCCTTGACTCTGTTGACCTGGAACAACAATGCTTGGCGAGGGAGAAAGAAAAGAGAAATATCAAGTCTTTTCAGGGCTCTCTAGTTTTTGTGATTCCCTGTTTAAGTCACCTGAGAGATGGGGATGTTGCTCAGTCTAGAGTGTAATTTCTTGGCAGGAGACCCCCAGCTGAGTCCTGGCAGCCTCATCTTGGCTCTTCAGAGCTTGCTGCAGTGTAACTTTCACAGACACTGGCTGTTCTCATTCTGACTTGGAGTTTTATTTGTTGGGGTTTTTTTCACTCCTTGGGGGTCTTCCTCTCTTTTGTCACAGCTTCACATATTTCCTCCCCTAGAGCTGTTTCTCAAGAGAAGCCTCGAATTGCTCTCTTTCCTGGTCTCTGAGATCAAATCCAAATCTGGCAATGTTTAAAAGGGAAATATGACAGACCCTACATGTCAAGCTGGGGTCAGGGATGGGGTCAGTTTGATGAGTTTCCCTCCAGCCAGATATGCATCAGTTGGAGAAATGTGGAGCCTGTAATCTTCTACTAATCAAGTACTGGAAAAATAAACCTTATGAGGACTTTGAGTTAAGCACTGTGAGCAGAATAGGTGTATAGGCAGAACTGATCAGCTGCTGTGCCCCAAACAGGGGAAATGCAGGAGCAGTAGGGGAATAGGAATATGTAGGAAAGAGTGGGGTTTACATTCCTTCTTGAAGAGCCCTAAGGATTTGCTGAGGCAGAATTGGAGGTGGGGAATTAGGGGTGGAAAGACGCAAGACTTTTCCTGGCTTGTAGAATGATGTATGGAAATAAAGTGGGAGGAAAAGTAATTTTTGCATGAGCCATTGAGGGAAAATGAGAATGCAGGATGGAGCTGGATGACACTGCAGGTGGGAGGGCAGGTAGTGAGAATAAATAACTGATCAGGGCAAAGAGTCTTGGGACCAAGGTCAGTTTGTGGAATTCAAAGCCATGATGAGTAAGGTCAGTGGTAGCCATCAGTTTAGGTTCAAGATGTAGGGCCTGCCTTAGAACAAGACAGGATGCATTAAGGCTTACATGACAAGGTTGACTGTGGGGTTTGATAAGACAATAGCGAGAATCCAGAATGATAAGCCTAGGAGTAGTGTGGGGAGATAAGAACAACAAGCTGTGATGCTGTAAGGATCAGTGGCTGGAGCCAGCATACCCAGGTGAGACCAGAAAAAAAAAGAATAGATAAGCTAAGGATGCTATCAGACTATCAGGGTGGAAGTGTATGAAGAGATGTTGGAAATTCAAATTGAGTACATTTCTTCTGAGGGGATTTCTGAGTGGAGGGAAATAGATGCCTACAATTGTTACCCACACATCTTTGTATCATTTAAAACACAAATTAGTTCCAACGCTACCTCTATTTTCTTTTGCCAGAAAGTGAGGTGATCTATTTGTTTAAACCCTTTTTTAAACACATAAACTTAGGCTTAATTGTGTTGCAGCATCCTGAATGCATTATGTTCATCTGCTCACCTGACCAGGCAGAAGTGTCCACTACAACTTGAGCACTGACATCTCACAACTGAAACTGTGATTGGTTCATATAGTGGAAGACCTCCCCAGACTATCAATATTTAACCTCAAAAAGTAGAAAAATGCAGTGTGTGTGATATCAATGTAAAGCAGATATAAATCACTCTGTTCATGAATAAAATTACCTACAATAAAAAACGCCTTCAGCTCTGCATGGGAGGAATCTCTTTTCTGTGTCGGTTTCTTTTCTGTGCTTTTGCTAATTTATTTTGATTCCTGTGAAGCATCACTTTCTCTTAGTCTAACAGTTGTGCATGGTACTGTGTGCTATTTCTAGGACTTTAGTTCTGTGATTTTGGGTGGCTTCAATTTGTGGACTGAAACTGGAAGTTTTGAAATTCAGGTTGCAGTTGAAGCATCAGGCATAAAATCAGCTTGTAAGGACAGCAGAACAAAGTATCTAGGAAAGATGTCTTACAGGGTTAAGAAAATGCTTTCCAGTGCTGATGTCATCAGGCTGCAATGAGTGAAAATGTTAGATAGGGAAGGAAAGTTGGTGGGTTTGGAAGTGGGTAAGAAGTGCAGGCTTCTTGTAACTGAGGTAAATGCAGAGGAAGGGATGCTGCAAGTCTCTGGTTGCAGATGTCTGGGGAGGTGGTGGAGGAGGTAAAGGAACATTTTTGGACAATGTCATGAAACTGGGTGAGAGCAGGAGGACAGTTCTGGTATGAGCAAAAGTAGAGTAATACAGAGTCTGTCATCTAGTATCTGTGCCTATTGAGGCCTGGAGATATTTACCTTAAGTGGACTAAGTCATTGCTCTTGATGGCCCTCCCAGCTAAGACTGCCAGTAGAGTGGCTTTCCCTCTTCACCAAGACAGAATTGATCACTGGATGCCGTCTCGATCCACAACTATTTTGATATCTGATTCCTCTACATTGTCTGTCCCTCTTGCCTTTTTCCTCCCATTTGTCTCTGTACATGGAGGTCTTGTAACTATATGTCCCCACAATTCTGCTACACCTCCCATGCTAACAGCCCTCCCCATTACCTTAAGACTGCTTAGATCCTCCCATGTACTTTTCTTTATGGATTATGAGCTGCTGTCAGAAAAAAACCACTAGTCTTTATATCCACTACCACCCTCTCCTATCCCTCTCCTCTCCATCTGGTATTAGGGTAGAGCGTGTGCCTTGTTCAGCTGGCTAGTTCTGGCATAAAACTGGACTGGTATAGGAGCGAGAGAGCTGTGCCCATGTTAGATGTGTGTATCTGTGCGGGTGAGGGGCATCTGAGGCAGGCACCCTTTCCTCCTTTTATCAGACTGCACTCATTTATTATACCATCTGTTTTCCCAGTGCCAGAGATGATGCTGGGGATATGTGACTTGGGCCACTCAGGCAGAAACTGGCCTGCACAAGGCCAGCCATGTGTTTGCCTCCTAGCAATGCAGCGGTCAGCAGCAAATTCTTTGCTGCCGCCTCCTCTCAGTATGGGAGAGAGCAAGCATGGGCCTGGGTGTGTAGGAGACACAAAGAGATGAACTGTGCGAAGGGGAGGGAAGAAGGGGAGAGAGATGGACTAGGGTATGTGTGTGTATCAGCTGGAGAGAACTGTGGGAAGGAGGGACAGACAGATACGGGCAGAGTGGGGGAGAAGGAAAGAGTAATAGAATGTAGAAAGGGACAGACAGAAGAACTTGGCAGAGGGAGACAAATAAATGGGCTGGCTGGGGCACAACAAGAAAAAGGCTGTAAAGGAAGGAAATACAGGCAGATTTGGCAGGTGTGTGGTGTGGAAATAGATGGATTGTCTGGGGGAGAGAGATGTGTGTCAGCTAAGTACTACAGTAATAGGTAAGTGGATAACTACAGAGACTGGGGGGGGTGGGTCTGTTTATATAGGCCTGTGTAGGGGGGAGCTGAATGAATGACAGTGAGGGAGAAGAGCCATAAGAAAGAGGAACAGAGATGAAGCAGCAGAACAAGAGTAAGGCTAGAGATGAACCATGGGGAGAAGAGGCATGAGAAGGCAAGGCAGTCCTCAGAGTGGAAACAAGAACTGGGATCAAGCAGAGGAGAGGAAGGGGGTTCATATGAGAAGAAGGGAGACTAACAGCACTCGTGTTTTGGGCTGAGGTTTTCTTACTGGAACCTGAGAGAGAATGCAGCACAGAGATGAGAGCACAATTCCCCAGTACTAAACAGAAGCATTTTTATGTATGCAGGGCTCACTGGCAGTGCCCAGAGAAAGCCGGTGGACTGGGGAGTGTAAATGCCACTGTGCTAGTGCAGACTGTTTCCTGTCTGAACTGCATGTGTACTTGAGCATTTACAACCTGTGGTCTGCCTATTTACAGTGTATCTGCTTGACTGCTAGGAGCTGTTTAAGATGTCAGCTTAGGCGTTTATTTATCCTTTCTTCCTCCTCCTCTTGCCCTTTTCCTCACAGTATACTCTCAATGGAAAAGGAGATGTGAAAAAGCAGTTCCTGTATTCGCAGGCACCTTCTTAATTCTTCCACCTCAGGCCACAGACACCACCTTGCTTTGCTGCCTGACTTGATGTCGCACCCCTCCCTTTGACCATTTTTTTTCCCTGTCCTTTCCTCTGTCCTTTTTTATCTCCTCCTTTATCTCTTCCTTCAACTTTCTACCATTTTAAATTTTTACCCTTTCCTGTAATGCCATCCCCCTTTCTCTGTTGTGTTCTAGACTCCTATTTTACATGCCTTCCCTTGTTGCAGCAGCTTATTCCTTCTGATTGCCCTGTTTCTTCTGCTCCTTTTTATCTCTCCCCAATTCCCCCATCTCCTTCTGACTGTGCCTGTCTGCCTGCTTTCTCACTCACTGTCTGTCTCTCTTGAACTGGGTTGTGAATTCTGTTTGCATCAGAGCGGGACAAACTGTAAAACTGAGGTTCCCGGAGGGCCAGGTTGTGATCATTTTATTTTTACAATGTCCTTGGATGTGTAAAGGTGTTTGTTTGAGGGGGAGGAGCAGTGCATGTGCTCCATGTGGGAGAAGAGAGAGGAGTGCAGGCCAGAACGAATGAAGCTTATAACTAATATAGGTCAGTTGCAGAGAAGAGTCTCAGTGGTCTGTAAAACAGAGAAGTGCTTTGTCGCTTCAGACTGGCTGCTGGAAAGATGGCAACTGAACAGTATTATCTAACAGACACAAGCAAACTGGAAAAGTGTCCTGTCAAAGAATGCAGTAGTGGTGAGCATGGGATGTCAATGTTTAAACATGGAGTTAGAAGCCTAAATAGATGTGGTTTGCTTTCTTTTTAAAATAGGCCTCTATTCCCAAGTCAGAGAATACCACCTCTCCACAATTTCTATCCATGGTGTACTCTTCTGTGCATCACCATAATGCTCCAGTCTAGCATCTGACTGGCTTAATCTGATGTGTTTAACCTACTTAAACTGGTGCAGGGTCTGGAGCACTGGTCGTACGAGGAGCCGCTGAGGGAACTGGGGGTGTTTAGTCTGGAGAAGAGGAGGCTGAGGGGAGACCTTATCGCCCTCTACAGCTACCTGAAAGGAGGTTGCAGAGAGCTGGGGATGAGTCTCTTTAACCAAGTAACAAGTGATAGAACAAGAGGGAATGGCCTCGAAGGTTTAGACTGGATATTAGGAAATATTTCTTTACAGAACGAGTTGTTAGGTGTTGGAATGGGCTGCCCAGGGTGGTGGTGGAGTCCCCATCCCCGGAGGTGTTTAAGAGTCGGGCTGACATAGCGCTGAGGGATCTGGTGTAGTTGGGAACTGTCAGTGTGAGGTAAATGATTGGACTAGACGATCTTCAAGGTCTTTTCCAAGTGAGATGATTCTGTGATTCTGTGATGCTTCCTCTATAGGAATTCACATTGTGGATCCTAAACCAATTGTAAAACTAAATCCTAGGAATTCATATATTAGCTCTGTGGCCACAATAGACAAGCTGGATTTCTCTGAAACAGTGTCTAAAGTACATGTAAATCTCATGGGATGCCTCTGTGACTATGCGGGACTGCAGAAAGAAACCCTTCTCACATTAAAATTGGTAGGCTGTTACTGACATCAGTGAGACCTGATGACTTTGAATTTTCTAAGATTGTCCACTCACTGAACTCCCGAATAGGTGTTGGAATACATGCTTCTCTTGATTTGTCCCTCTGAAAAGTCAGAGGGACTAAATAACCTATCCCAGAGACTAACCATTTCTCTTGTTTTTCTTGGGATGTTCCTTCAAGAGTCTCTTTTAATCCTGATTTATTGCTGAGCATCAGAGAAATTAGAAGTTCAATATTCCTCCCCTAATATTCTAAATTATCTGAATGAAGAAGAGCTAAGGATGTCCTAAAGAAGACAAAAGTATGTACAGCTGGCTTGCAGAAGGGTTACCCGTGTCAGTACCACCAGACCTAGGAGAGCAAGTCTGCCCCGTACAGGAAGCTCCAGTGAACCTCTGTGGCTGCTGAAGACCAGATGGCAAAAGCTCATGTTTGGGCTGGACTGTGGCTTTAAGTGAAGATACTGAATAGATAGGGCTGCACAGGATTCTATTCTCTGTCCCCATCAGTGCCCTTTACACTGGGAGAAAACTTGATATCACAGAATATCGATCAGTGTCAACATGAACCATCCTCACTGTAGGCCTCACCTTTCCCTCTGCATTTGCCATTGTGTTGATCTTCCAGGAAGATTCTGAAAACCTTAAGTTCAAAAAAAAAAAAAAAAAAAAAAGGCCTTTCTCTTTCTTGCAGTATTCTTTGCAGTTCTCTGTTTATTGGTGTATTCACAAGAAAATGGGCTTTTTTTCTTTAAGAACCAAACCACAGCCAATGCACATTTCCTCACAGGAGTTTCATAAACCTGTTTGTCAAGAGATAGTGACTTTTTTAACTCATGGGTTCTGAAGCTGTCCAGGAGAGACCATCCCTTCCATGAGAGGCAGTTCAGGCATGAGAGTCTATCCTTGTCACAGTCAGTGGATGGATGGACAAAGTCTTTATTGGGAGCAAGACAATTATTATGTGCCCATATTTCACACACAATGGGCAGTGAGACCCATTGCTTCTTTGATCCATTCTGAAGAACCTTTCCCCGTGCCTTGACCTTAGCACAGATTCTGATTACAAGACCCATGACATAACCTTTTCACCAACTTTTCCTTTCCTAGAATATGCTTCCAGGGTTAGATGTATGTGGATTTCAGTGGGAACTATCTGTGCCTGGCTTTGGATATGAATGGGAAGAAAAAAGAGGATTTCCATGAAGGATCTGGGGATACAGCAAAGGAGAAGGAATGGCTGTATGCTTGTGAATAAGTGGGTCTCAGATTGGATTTCTATGGGGTGTGGTTTATGGTGTGTAGAGGCATGTAGAGGCATGTATTTATTTATAATGTGATGGTCCAGCATGAAGGTAACCCTAGGATTAGAGATCAAGTGTAGAAAACTGTGTACTCTGGAGTGGAAAACTACGACGGACAGCATCTGAGTGGGGGGATAGTGTCTTTAGTTTAGTACAGTTATGCAAATACATGAGGATAGGCATGCTGGTGGGAGGGAGGGTGTTCTCACAACTTATTTTCTCTGCTAGTCTTATTCAGGAAGTTTGTATGTATATGTATGCATATATCATCACTGAGGATACTTTACCAAATACTGGAAATCCAGCTAGAGTGACTTGTTAGCAACCTGCCCTCTCTAGAGCTAATGGGTTGCTGGCATTGATTTTTTTTTTTTTTTTTTTTTTTTTCCTATTGATTAGGAGGCTGCTGTACATGCAAACCTCAGTGCAGCATGGAAAGAGAAAGGGAGGGAAAGCAGTTCACATCCCAGCAATTTATCATCGTGGAAAATTCATCCTGGGAATCCCAGTCTTGTCCCACTATCTCTTTCAAGTAAAGAAGAAAGCCTTCTCTTTCTGAAGAAATCAACCCACAGGGCTCATGAGATGACACTTTCTTTTTCCAACCATCTTCAAGTAGAAAAAATTTCAAAGAAGAAACATTTGCATGAGAAAAAGGAGTCTTACATGGAAAGCACAGTTCTAGCTTCAAGACTCAATCTGGAACAGGTTTCTTGGGTATCCATGGGTACCCAACTCATCTATAACAGCACCCAGATCCCACTAAAATAATGAAAATACTTTCACTTTGGTGGACTTTGCAGTTATGTTTTGAATTTTTCAGTGCCTCCACAAACTAATGAACATCTTATTTTGTAAGAGTGTTATGAGGCTAAATGAATTGTTTGCACAACATAGTGCTTGGAAGAGGATATAGGTCAGAAACTGAGGGAGTTACGTATTGCAGCTTTATAACCTCATACTTGATCCCCGCCAGAGTTCCACTCCTGTCTAACACAGGGGGGTTTTATGCACTTTCAGGGCAGAACCAACACCACTTTTACATGGAAACCTACTGGGTTTAATTGTTAGACCTCTGTGCCCTGTATCTCCCTCCTTCTTCCCTCCTTTCTGGTCACAGTGTCACACTGGAGATGACTCTCCTGTAGTATTTGAATATTTGATGTTTAAACCATCTTTTATGTTGATCCTCAAGTTATATGAATCTGAATATAAGAAGAGAGGGTTTTTCCATCTGTATTTATGTCCCTATCTCTATCTCATCTCCATCTCTATCATCTCCACTTGTGATTCTCAGGCAAAACCACAAATCTTCTTTCCTTAGCTTTCTAGTTCGTTAAATTGGTCTAAGAAAACCAACAGCATGCAGATATTATGTGAATAACGTTTCATAAGTGCTTTGGGACCCTCGGGTTTGGATGTCAGTGATAACTGCTCTGATCTCTTGCTCTGCTTGTCTAACCATAAAGATATGTGACTTCTATCAACTTTCTCCAGTGAAATATCTTAAATTTTAATCCTCTTTCTGCATATGTCACTTCTATCTTCTCTGCCCCATTGGCTCCCAGTTCTATAATCATCACTGTAACCTCAATTTATTTTTCTTAACATCTCCTCTACTGATGCATCTGTCTATTAACACCTCTGCTCTGCCTGCAAATACAGCTGCATCAACTCCTTCTCTTTTACATCTCATTGCAGGAACTCCTTATGAGCTGGCCTCCCAGGATGAAGATTCCTAGATACCAGTTTTCATATACTATCACTGTCTGATTTTCTCCTATGCGCTGAAAAGCTCCACTGCAGCACTCAAGCCACAAACACTCTGTTCAGTTCCATTACCATCCCATGGAGTTGATTCTGACTTTGTGCCCTTCATCTCCCTTCCCGCATCTTTCTTGTGCCCCTTTTTTCCTACAGCGCTGCCCCTTCTCTCCACAAATAGCAGCACTTTTGGTTTGCCATTGGAAGCAGACTTCCTGCAGCTCCCTGTCTCATCAGCTTCTCATTTCAAGTAATTTAAAATGTAATTTAAAATATCTCTATTTCCTCCAGACTATTAATTTCTCTCTCCTTACTCTTCTATAGATGTCATTCTGTGTTGCACTATTCAGTAAGATGTGACTTGTAAAAATCTGCCACAGTGTTTTTATTCTGTACTCTTGTTTTGTATTATCATTTTTAATGATTCTTTGTAGGAAAGATGAAATCTCAGCACAGCATCTAGCCACAGCACAAGCAGTCACACAGGACATTCTGGCATTTGCATTGCCTTTGTTCCATTCTTCTCCTGTGGCGTTTAGAACTGTAGAGGGATTATTGCAAATGGTCTAAGAGTATATAAGTAGGGTAGCAGGAAGAGAATTATTTCTGGAAATTGGGAAGTGTGAGGCAGGAAGCCGTGTTTAGTCCTGATCCTGAGATGTGCTGAGCCCTCCTAGGTCTTACTCCTCTTAGCCAGAGATTAAAGAACTCACCACCCTGCAAACCTGTCCTTCTTACACTGACAGTTTCTTTGGGGAGAACATGCTCCTCTCCTGTTTCTGTAGTCACTTGAAACCAAACTGACCAAAGCTGTAGAAAAATGTAATGAAGGCAACAGTTCTGGATTGGTTTAGGGGTCTCTGTTTTGGCCCAGCTGCTGCGTCACCATCTGCATGTGACTGGATTCATTAAATGTAAAGATACGTAATCCTGACATTTCCACAAGATTTTTCTTGTTATAGATGAAATCTGTAATTTCTCAGAGTGTGGGGTTCCCCTGAAAGCCCAAATCCACAGCCTCTGCAGTGACTGCTTGCTCACCCTACTAGTCTCACCAGGCTCAGATACCAACAAAAGCAAGCTCCTCAGCCCAGAGGCAACCCCTGTCTGTGCAGCTCAGCATACGCTGACCCAAAGTAACACTACCATTTGTAACAGTAAAATAAACACTTAACCACATGGGCTACACAGGTGAGCCCTGAAGACACATAGCATCACCCCTTCTTTCCCTCTCCTCTTTGAATCACCCTGGTATGTAAGGAGGGGTGAGTTTCAGAGGGCCTAAACCCTTTTTGCTTTCACTCCCTCCAGCCAGGTTGCTTGTGTGGCATTACTGGAAGAGCTGTGCTACACTTTTTTGTAGTACAGAGTAATTGAGGACCACACCTTCCTCGGAGCTATGAGCTCCACAGATTTCCAGGGTGCCTTTCCCATCCACACATGTGATGTTGGTGCCTGGTGGGTTTGAGTGCCAGAATAGCCAGCTGAAGTTTTTTTCCTCTTCAACAGTCTTTCAGGCTCCTGGTCCAGCTTTTCTACCTTCCTTTGAAGAATGAGAAGACTTGAATACTGGGGTAGGGTTGGAGAGGAACAACCACCAGCACAAAAAGAAAATGGCTCAGAGTTCCAAGAATTACTTATTCCTCCCTTATGCCTTTCCTCTTCAAGGCTCCTTCCTTCTTTCAGTCGAAATGTCTCAGAAGGTGGAGGAGACATCCTAGGGTGATCTTCTCTAGCTTTCTCAGCTAAGAGCCTCACAGAGCCTCCTCCTCACCACAGGCCATCCCTGTGGGTCATAATCTCCTATCAGCTTAGGGGTGTTCTCTACATTTTGCTGCCTCTCCAATTCACTTGAACCATGAACAACAGTTTAGAGAGTCTGTTCACAGCTACCATCCTCCTCGCTCTTGCAGCAGGCTATACTTAGCGTGATAAAGGTGCATTGGTGCCACCTGCCCCCTTGCCCATCTGTAGCTGTTTGGCAGCTCCATAAGTGCAGAAATAGATGCCCAGCTCCTATGGCAGAGGCCAAGACCAGGATTCCCCCAGGTGAGGCTGGGGACAGTTTGTCCCCCCAGAATCTGTCAGTTTTCTCAACCTGCACTGTCTCCTGCCACCTCTCACTCCATCCCTTCTCCTAGCTTCCCCAGGGCCTATCCTGCCTGCTGGTGGTGGTCTGCATATGGCTGATGCCAGACACCATGAGTGCTTGCTGGTAAACACCTTTACCTTGGTCTCGGCTGTGAGGACAGCCTGGTCTGTGACCTCTAAATGGGGGAAATGATCAGTGGTCTGTAGGGCAGGCAGTGGCCCCCCTGCTGCTTGCTACAGAGCCCTTCATGTCCAACAGTCCTGGAGCAGATTGTCCTGAAAGGGCAACCCCAGTCTGTGCCCAGAGAGGGAGAAGGGAGGGGAGATAAACGGAGTTAGGAAATTACAACGTGGCTGAAGCCCGCCAACTGGTTCAACTTCCCAGCACCTCCTTTGCTCATCCCTGCTCCCCCACACAGAACATCAATGAACCTAAAGCAGCTCTTCTGGTCTCTTTTTCACTGAACAGATCTGATCAGAGAGAAACAAAATCAGTAGCATCAAGCATTAGATTATTTCTTTTCTTTATGATTGTTGCATTAATGAGCAGCTGCATGTATAGAACCAGGAGGTGACTAATGTAATTATAACCTGGTGTAATGATACTGCCGAGGAAGAGAGAGAGGATTATGACATACTTAGATGTCAGTATTGCACTGTTTTGTACATGTTCCCCGTACTATCCGGTTGTGTCTGACACGGGAAACTTAAGCACTGGTAGATTTCAGTCTGCAGCCATTCAGCTGGTGCATCTTTCTGTGTAAACAAGAATGTGAAAGGTGGATGCTTTTGGGGGGCTGGAGGTGGGGAAGGGTCCATGTTTGGTGGTTCCTTTCCTTAACAAAATAATAGTGTAATAATAATAAATCGCCTTTACTTGTGAAGAATCTTCCCAAAATGTCTGCTTCTTGGAGCAGGCTTTGGGATTTCACAGAAAGCTCTAAGAACAAAGTCAGAAAGCAGAGATTCACACAACACTGCTCGGGGGGAGACAGGGGGACGGGAAACGAGCAGCACCGAAACATGGGCAACTTGCAGCGAACCCGAGAACAGTGAGGAGCAAGCACTTAAAAATCATAACAACGGCGATAATTGCAGACACAAATGCTTGTTTCTAAATTACCCTTCCACGTTACATTTCACCCGTCTCCTGGGAGAGAAAGGGCTGGCTGGAGTTGCGTGCGGGTCTCACCGCGGTGTGCGGGCTGCACTGGCGGCTCCGGTCACGTACGGCGGGGACGCGCGGGAGGCCGCGATGGCGGGGCGGGGGGAGAAGGGCAGAAAGCGAGAGAGAAGGGAGAGCCCCCGCTACGCCCGCGGGGAACAACCCTTGCCGGGGCTCGCAGCGGCGGGCCGGGAGCAGGGCGGGGGGGAGGCTGCCCCCGCC